GCAAGGCTCAATTTTCAAAGTTTTAATTGTAACTTCAAATTGTGAGGAAGGATTTCGATCTTCAATAAAAGTAAGTTCAAGTTAAATTTATAGAACACATAACTTCCTTTTAGTAACCTGGCTTCAAATCAAATTTTCCCAATTCCATATCGCTCGGTCCTCTTGTTGCATTACAAGTTGGATAGAATTGATACTTAGGTTAACACTCAGAACTTGGATCAATAGGATCTTTATAGGTTTGAGTGAAATCTATAATTGATAATTCTCTGTGCCTTCTGAAAAGACTGGCGCTAGAAGAATCGATTTAGATTCAGGGATTAGAAAAGCACCCGCGCCGTGCGCATCAAATTTTTCTGTATTTTAGCCAACACCAATCTTTCCTTACCCGGGTAAAGTGAGAAATCACAGCCCGAAAAGAATTAGAAATTCCCGCCTCACGAAAAGTGAGACGTAACAACACTTTTGCTAGTGATATTTTGCATCATATGTTTCGCTCGTGTTTATTACGTAGTCACTCATGTTTGCTATCTGTCGCTTATTTGCAATCTAGTCGCTCTTCCAAATGACGTCATGCTTCGCATATTTATATATTCGCGAACTGATACTTGACCACTGCCAGGGTAAAATTCGTATGAATAGCACATGCAGTAAGTACAAAATAAAAAAAATGGCTTCGATACGAGGAAAATTGACGCAGTTATGTACATTCAAATAAGGGCAAAATCTTGATTAAATTTATGTTGCGATAATTGTGTTGCGTAGTGTATTATGATCCATATTGAAAAAAGGAATTATTTATTTTTTATATCAATTAAAAAAATATTATAAACCTGTAATCAAAAATAAATAATAACATATAAAGCTACTAATGTCTATTCATTTTTAATAACTTACTTAACGGGGATAGTGTTAGCGTCCTCGCTTTAGCCATCGCCGTCAGAAAGAAATATATTTAAAATTCTGTGAAAGTAGGAAGCAATAATGCAATTGATGGAAAAAGATCTCGACGTGGGTCGATTGACATCCGACCCAGCAGTACCGCTATGCTGTGCGTGAAGCGGTCCAGCTCTTAGACCCGCGGAGAGTGTCGTGCAGTTATGCCTCGCTGTTAAAAACGCGAAAGTGAAAAGAGCGAAATACGCGATCGTAACATGGTAGAGGGAAAAATCACGAGCCAGGAAAAATAAATAATTCAGCAGCGTTATGGTAAGAGTAGCGATATAATAAAACAATATAATTACACAAAGAAAAAGGTTATATAGCGTAAGCGTGTGTGTATATGTATGAGAGAGAGAGAGAGAGAGAGAGAGAGAGAGAGAGAACTAGCTATAAGCCAGTAGAGAGTGAGAGAGAGAAAGAGAGTAATTGCCGGTACTTACAAATATGTCGCCGTGTCTTACTAAATCGCTAAGCGCTGGTCATGGAAAATTGTGATATGAGTGTATTGCGGAAGTACTGCATTGACGTACGTACCACCCATTCGCCAGTTGTACAAATCGTACTCGCAAAACAAATCGGCACGAGCAATAACACAGAAAGCGACGATCACAACTGTCTCTCGCATGCACAACGAAGTCGCTAGAATAATAATATCGATGATATCGCTTACAGGACGTAGAAACACGTGCATGCGGTAGCGTAGTTGAAAATGTTCTGAGTACTCTCCGTGTGAGGCCTATGGGAACTGCGGCAATTAGTTAAGATTTTGGTCCTCACGCTTGTCGCGACCTGTCTTTATCTTTCTTTTTCCTCTTCATAACAACTTACGGTGTTTTGCTGCCTCTCCTTTCACACCGTTACTCGTTCAAAATTTTATACAAAGCATAAGATAGTTTGAATATCATTAATAATTAAATAAAATATATTGAAGTGCTGGAAGAGACAGGCATAACGATAGGGTCAATCACTCCCATTATGAAACTTAATATTATTTTAAATTTATTTTATTTGATTACCATATTCATCACATTATAAATTTGAATCAATTAGTACATTTATTATCCATTTATTCATTTCATTATTCATTTTATATTTATGACTATCTAATTTTCTGCATAATTATTGTATTTCAAAAACGATAAGAATAGAAGTTTTAATAATCGTCAGAATAAACAGCTTTTATTTGAAAATTTTTTGATAAAAAAATATTTTCACAATGAATTGTCAGAAGCCACCAAACATTTTGTGTCCAATAACTTCAAGTTGAAAATCTAGAGAACTTGAACAGCTAGGATTTTATTTTATACATATTTTGTACTGTAGCTCAATACAATTGATTCTCCCGTCGCCGATTTTGCATTCATTTTAGTTAAACCTATTTGCTTAAAAATTCTGGCTTTCATGCTTCATAGTTCTTTCACGCTTACTTACCTGAATACGTAACCGCGGCACTTCATTCAAATCTCGAACCGTTGGAAAAAGTACGAAAACATGAATTCTGTGCTCCTTCCAACTTTCGTAAACAGGCAATATCTTTTTACATTTATACGCGCGCTGCGAGATCGAATTCGTTCTTACGATACAAAAACGTTTTATGCAAACGCAGCTGATTTAATCCGATTAGAAAACTTTTTAACGCTTTCTCATGGAGTAAGCCGAATTGCTCGCAAAGAAAAGAAGGAACTGATTAATTAGTTTTCAAAAATTAATATTGTACCGTAGGAGAAAGATGAAATAATAAAAAGAAAGTTTAGCTTTTCGTAGGTATATTTCGGTTAAAATGTAGCAGCGCGATATTTGGTTCAATATTTTATTTATTTACAAATATTTGCAACGTTTAAGTCACTCTAAGGAAAGTCTTAGCATAGATAACCATCTAGTTTTCTATTATTAATCTCTTAATAATATTTACTCACTGTTACGTGACGCTTCATTGTATTATTTTTTTATTTTGTCAAATAATATTTCGGACCCGAGACTTCCATTCGGACATAGTATAATCAGCAGTATTCGTGTGCGCGACTCGGTGGGAACGTGCGGCAGAGGCTGATTCACGCTGCGCCAGCATGCTGCGACGGCATGCTTCGGTCAGCGTGCTTAGCTAGGTAAGACGATCCGAGACGAGAAGCGTAAACGTTTAAAGTATATGTGCGAGAGAGAGACGAAAAGCGAGGGACAAAAGATATATAACGAACCGGCGTAAACAACGAAACCAATCCTTAGTCAGTCAGGAATCAGCGCTCGACTAAGAGCTCCCTGCAAGAGTTTGAGAATATTATAATAAAATTATATCGAAGTGCCGAGTATCGTTATTTCTAACGACCTTTTATTTGCTATTGGAATACTATTGGAATACTATTGGAATACTATTGGAATACTATTGGAATACTATTGGAATATCATTGGAATATTATTGGAATATTATTGGATAAAGAAAATATATTGGACCAGCTTATTGAATTAATTCGAAACCAGTAATTACCTATAAAACGAACCTAACAATATCTCGGACCTAGACGACAGAGTGAGTACTTTTGAGCTCTATCCTCGATAAGGTGAAATCTCTTCCTTATCGTAATTTTATTATCTCTCTCTCTTCGCTCTAATATTACTAAGCATAATCAAGGTTCCCCTTTCGGTGAATCCACGTGATTGTGTACCGGGACCAAGTGTGTAAACACCGCTGACCGCCTAAACTAAAATATTTATTTTAATAAATCGCGAACCACATAGTAGCGCGATATTATTATTAGAAGTATTATTCGACGTATTAAAATATATATATATATATATATAAACTTATCTAACATACCGGCGTAAGTTCATTTAAGTCAATCGGCGAAGCCCCCCCCCCCCTCCCTTTTTCCCGCCTGATTACTGCCGCCTGGCTCTCGCAAGGACGAACTTCGGATATTATCGGTGAAGACGCGATCCATTCGGTGACTCGGTCGGGGTACCGTACTGAAGGGCTAGTCCACCCGAGTTAGGACCACTCGGAGCTAAAAACGGTCTAACACGCGCCAGTTTTGAAGAGACATCAAAACTGGCACGTAACAAATGGTAGCAGAGCGTGGCTAGTGCCTTCGATTAAATGCCGTAAAATCATTGTGTCTACTTTTAATTCTATTGATTTCTTTTATATATATATATATATTTATATATATATATATAAATTAACACATTGGCTCTGGAATTTCTTTTGGAGCGGCACGCGGAGTTGGAACCCGAAGCGTTTCTTCCGGCGTATAATTGAGGTTTAGCGAGGAAGAAATTTTCGCTCTTTCTCACGCGTTTGATTTAGCTGAAACCAACGGGAAATTTGAACGCGCTCGAATTTCTTTTGCTGACTGAGTTTATTTTTTTTTTTTTCTTTTCTCTCTTTCTTTTCTTCTGCATTCTTCCTGTTCGAGTCAATTCCTCGTGTTTTCTAATTAGCTTGCAAATATTAACGAAATTGAGCTAGAGGTTTTGCGGTCACCTGCCTTTTGGTCAATTTTAATTGAAACAATTACTTTCGCTAAGTACTTTTGTTTTAATACTTTTATGAAGGTGAAGTTTTTTTTTCTATCTATTTTTCTTTTTGCTGATAAGTGGGTTGTAATGATTAATTTCACCCTTCTCTTATTTCTTTTAAATAATAAGGATTAGCGAAAAATTTAGATGGGATCAGTAACACGCCAACAGTCTTAACTAATGGGGAGCGACCGATAGAAATTTATTTGCAAGTTTAGACCGTTTTATTGTCTTACGCCTTACTAGGAAATTTATATTATTCTCTCCTGTTAGGGAGGTCAGACCCAAAATAACGATTCAAATTTGAGTTTACTTTTTACCTGGTGTAGATCCTATTTGAGTATTATTATCATTATTAATCGAATTTTGCTTTTCCTTAGCTATAATAATGATTACTATTTACTCTTATATTATATAATCATTTTGGTCGCAATTTAGTGACCGCGTGTTATATTATTTTTTTTTAGAGTTTCTTTCCCCTCTATTTCTCTTTCTTCCCATTCGCGTATTTTTGTCTCTTACCATCTGACCCCAAGAAACGACAGAAAATGGCGACTGAACAAGCGACCTTAAATCTTCTAACTAGTATGTCAGCAAGTTTCACTTTGCAAAGTATTGTGCAAGGAATCACGGAATTTGACGGAAAAAATGTTCCTCTAAAAGACTTTATTCAGGACATCCGTAATGGAAGGGCACTTATAGATGATAAACAAGAAGCAAATTTTATTCGCTTGATTATAGCGAAATTAAAGGGACCAGCGAGAGATTGCATTTACGGTAAAACCGTAAATACAACCGAGGGACTAGTTAAAATACTTAAGGAGCGATTTGCCCCGTGTAAGGACTTCTCTTATTATGATTCAAATATTCATAATTTGCGAATGAAAAATGGGGACACGGTCGGAGATTTTCACGACCGTATCAATATTCTATTAAACTGCGCACAGAGCGCCCTGAAAGAAGAACTTGGAACTGATTATAGTGATGTCATGATGACCCCGATAAAGAATTCCACACTTAAAACCTTCATTGACGGGCTGCCGAAAGAAATCGGGGACTTAGTCGATATTAAGCAGCCGAAGTCTCTTGAGGAGGCTTACAAGGAAGCCCTTCGCATAGAGACTAGAAATAAGAACAAGCCAAAACATGAGGACCTTAGTATGAGTAAGTGGCTGTCGATTAACCGTGGATTTAATGTTGGGTATATTCAGGACCAGCAAGTTGAAGCTGAGGAACCATACTACAAAGAATGGGAAGAGTTACCTGCGGAAGTGCAACAATTTATTATCCAACGACAGAACGGACGATTTTATCAGAATAATCAACGACAACAATACCAAAATCAGAACCAGGAAAGCCAGGCTCGACAACAGGAAAATCAGTCCCAGGGGCAGAGGCAGTTTATGTTTAGAAATTGGAGGGGACGCCAGCGGAATAAAAATTTTCAAGATAACGGCAGTCACCCAGGACGATTGTACAATCCTGATACGGACATGTTTCAAAACCCTACGGGACGAAGATACGGGGCAATTGCCTACGATCAACAACAGAGATTCAATGAGTTGAGACCGAACCCACCGTATCAACACTTTGGAGGAAATCCCGGTAATTTAAACTCCGATGGGGCTCGCCCTGGAGTGACTGCGGCGGGCCCATCTCAGACATCCCCGGCTCAGAATTATCGGCAGCAACAGGCGAAAACTCTGATAACGGAAGTTCGACAGACGCCGGAAGCGGAGAAGTCGGGAGTACCGCCAGCGAAAGTGATGACGATACTGAAAAATTCGGAGACGTTGCTTCCGAGTCAGTCGTCGCAGTTGCCGCAGATCGGGGACCTGGCGCAAGAGATAATAAAATCCATGCGCCTACAAGAGTAAGATTTCGAATACCCGAGACCGATAAACGGTGGACTGTATTTATGGTCGATAATGGATCGGCTGTAAATCTTATAAAATTTAATGCCTTACATTGGACTACGAGGTTCGACCCAAGAGAGTCGACTACACTGAGCGGGATAACTGCACACACTGTTCCGACTCTAGGCACTGTATTGCTAACGATAAATGGCAAGCCTGCTAAATTCCATATAGTGTGGAATAATTTCCCCATTGAAGAAGATGGCACGTTAGGAAGGGACTATTTAATAGACACGAGTGCAGTTATATCGTATTATAATGGAACCCTAATGGTAAACAGTGATTTAATGAATCCGATACCATTCCTACCTACTAATGTGCCTATGGAACACTTACAAGACAATCTTATCAAAACTATGCGCATAGTACCGAAAGACGATGAAATATCAGAACTTGAAACTGATTCGGACCTGGATTATGCGATAGAGCAGCTTGCAAATGAAAGGATTAGTAACTCTAAGCCCGGACGAGTGAAGAACGTGGTCAATCACGGTACGGTCAAATACACTATAGGACCAAGATCTCGTCAAATTATTCAAATCAACTTGATCGAAACCGAGTTGACAGAAGGCTACCTGCCTAGGATTGACGTGAAGGACGAAAAGGTATTTCTTGGAGAGGGAGTAGTCGCAAATGCAAATAATACCTGTAAAATCATGGCAATTAATACACATGATGACGAGGAAGTTACCATTGAAGTGGACCCGAGAGAAATTTTGCCGTTCGAACAGTTTAAATCGCAGTTCTCCAGCTCTGGCGGCGAAGATGTTTCGGAATCTAAAGTAGCCAGGCAGGTCAATGATCAATATAAGAAGAGGGGAGAGAACCTCTTACAATTAATCAGGACCGGACATCTTAGTCCAAGCGAGCTCCAAAGCGTTAAGCGACTACTAAAAAGGTATCCACACGTATTCCTATTACCCGGAGAACCATTGCCCTGCACGGACTTAATAGAACACGAAATCCATCTTGAAAATAGAATTCCCGTAAATACCAAACAGTATAGGCACCCTCCTGTTCATAGACAATTTATTTCTCAAACGTTAAGAAAACGATTGGAAGACGGAATAATAGAGGAATCGAATTCACCATATAACTCGCCACTTTGGATAGTACCTAAAAGCCCGGCGAGTGATGGAACCCCGAGGTGGAGAATGGTCATCGATTTCCGAGAATTAAATAAAAAAACTGTCGGTGACGCTTACCCTTTACCGAATATAGGGGATATATTAGATCAACTGGGGGGATCCCTTTATTTTTCAACATTTGACCTTGCGAACGGATTTCAACAAATACCCTTAAGAAAAGAAGACAGGCCCAAGACAGCATTTTCATCGTTTGATGGGCACTTCCAATATAAAAGGATGCCGGAAGGATTAATGAACGCGCCGACAACATTCCAGAGAATGATGAATATATTGCTGCGCGAGCTGCTAAATGTAGAGATGCTAGTGTACCTAGACGACGTAATAGTTTATGCTAAGAACCTTCATGAACATGAAGTGAAGGTTGGCAAACTTTTTGAGAGACTATCGGATGCGGGACTAGTCCTACAGCCCGACAAGGTGAATTTCCTTTGTAGGGAAGTAAAATTCCTTGGGCATATTGTAAGTGGTCGAGGAGTCGAGCCAGACCCTAAACTAGTCGAAGCTGTAATGAAGTTCCCAAGACCAAAAGGAGTGAGAAGTGTTAGATCTTTTCTAGGACTATCCGGATACTATAGGCGATTTATTCAAGATTATTCAAAAATTGCCAAACCCCTCAGTGATCTTACTAAAAAGGGACAAGAATATGATTGGGGACCTGCACAGGAAGAAGCCTTTGAAAAGCTCAAGAAACTCCTATGTGTAGCTCCGATCCTAACATTTCCGGACTTCAATAAACCATTTAAGCTAACTACAGATGCCTCAGATTACGCGATTGGAGCGGTACTTTCACAAGAAGAAGATGGAGTCGATAGGCCTGTAGCTTATTTGTCGAGACTGCTAAGTAAACCCGAAAGAAATTATACGACCACTGAGAAAGAGTGTATCTCAGTTTTATACGCGATGAATCAGTTCCGGCCATACCTCCTATGCAACAAATTCACGCTAGTCTGTGACCATGAACCTTTGAACTATATGCATACGCGCAAGGACCCTGGACAACGCCTTATGAGATGGATGTTCAAGCTTACGGATTACCAATACACCTTCAAGTATAAGGCGGGAAAATTGAATTGTAATGCCGACGCACTGTCAAGGAACCCGGTAAATTTACAAGAATACTTGGATGAAAAGGAACAAAAAGAGAAAGAACTGAATGAAAACATACCGAAAATTCAAGTAATGATGCTGAAAAACAAAGCGACTAAAAGGAAAATCACTAAAGAACAGACCGAAGAAGATCCAGAACAACTGGTAGAGATACGAAGAAGAGCGCATACCGCGTCCAATGAGGCTAGACCGAAAGGCAGACCAGTAGGGGCCAAAACGAATAAAGGAAGACCACAGTTGGACCATAGCACCGTAGCGGAAAGAACGAGAAGTAAAAAGCTTGTACCCACGACCTCAAAGTCTACTGGAATACACAAGAAAACCTGGGCGTCAGTTGATAAAGAAAAGATGCGATCGAAAAGAGTCCAAGAGCCAAAGAATTGCGAAGCAGAACTTCCTACAGACGACTCAAGTACAGAAGCCATCGAGGAGACCCTACAGAGAAAACAACTGGCCGACCAAAACTATGAGTCCGTGGCAAATACTTCCGAAATAGAAGTAGTTGTAAACAAAAATGCAATTGAGGACGAGAAACGAAAGTCGGCTCATCCTAAATTACATTGGCGCGTGCAAGAAATTTTAAATCGATTGGACCGAGAGAGTCAAAGCTCGATTATGTCGGACTCTGAGGCGGATATGAGCAAACTACTGCCCAGTTCCTCGAGACGTTCTGTGGTATCCTCGACTGGTGTAGAGGATAGGGACGCGAAGAAACTCATGACAGTACGGACAACCGGCCTCCCGTAGAGGACCCGCGATATAGCGGACTAAGAAGAGGTAAAGAAACGGAAATAGAAGCGAGTGAGGATCAAGAATCCCAAATGAAGAGCCCGAAGACAAATAAGGCTAGCGGTACGACGACTGAGGGAGTTTTATCTGAAACAAACGAAGAGTCAATTGAAATACCGATCACTGGACCCCAAACTAGCGCGAGTTTTGAGGAAACTGAGGATGAAACCTCCGAAGAAAACGCAAAGAGCGCAGGTCAAGGGAACCACGACGGTTCAGAGAGGGGGCCAAGGACCAGTCTAACACCAGACGAAGTCTGGACATCGGCAGAGAAATTCGAAGCCAGTCTACGTCGACATAGAAGCTTGGACAACGTATCGTACTTTTGGGACGATTTGGGTCTAGCCCAAGATAACAAAACCATAGAGATGCCTTCACATTTTTCAGACGGTGATGAACCGTTTCCGGAAATACAGGAAACACTATGGGAACTCGACCCATACGATGACGAAAATGAGACTGATGAAGAAATGGCTGGACGAATAAGAAAATTGGTGGATAAATCTCAAAAGGTCGTTGCCTCACAAATTGAACAAAGTAGTGATAGCGATGAAGAGTATCCGAACAAAATCAACGAAGAGAACCGTGACGAGGTGGCGGAAATACCGCGTCATAGAGAAATTTCAGTGACTCCAAGCATAAAGGTAGGAGCGCCGACTGCCAAAAGTACACCCATGGTTCAGGGGCGACGTCCTGTAGTGAAATTTAAGGGACTAAACGCTATCACTGAGGAACCGGCTACGAAAGATGAAACGCCGGTAGAATTACACTTTTCGCAAGCACCCGTAGAGGATGAATTGTTCCTCATGATACCCCCACCCTTGGGACCATTAAATCAATATAAAAGACCCGAAAATCATCAAAATCCGAGTTCTAGTAGCGAGGGAACTAGCGGTGACCAAACGTTGGGACCTGCGAATTATATCCTTCAAAATAATGTCAGCACGAGCCAACAGTGCTTAACTTATAAGAGGGATAACATTGTTCATTTTATTTCACGGAATTGCGACAATAAGACCTCCGTCTCCAAACTATTAGAGAAAATCGGAGCGATAGATCTACGGAACGTGAAGAATCAGAAGCCCAAAATTGGACAGATTTTAACAACCGAATACAAAAACAAATATATCTTCTCAATTATCGTTAAGGACAAGTACCACGACTCCACTAGTATAGAAGCCATTAAAATAGGGTTAATAAACTTAAAAAAATTGCTCCTGCAGAAAAAACTGAACAGTTTTCGTATAGCCCGGAGAGGAGATTATACTGATGACTTAGGGCCCGGACTATTAACCGAAATATTAATAAGAATATTCGAAAACAGTCCTGTAAAGGTTACAATTTGCTATGGTAAATCCATTATACCCCCAGAGAACGAAAGAAAAGAGATTATCCGAACTTTACATGATAGTCTTGTTGGAGGACATAAGGGAGTCAATTAAACTTATCAAAAGATAAGGGCCCGGTATCACTGGGCTGGACTACGCAATGATGTGCTGGATTACGTCAGAAGGTGCCCGAGATGCCTCGAGAAAAAAATTGATCGGCATAAAACAAAAGAACCAATGTTAATTACAGATACGCCGATAGAGGCGTTTGATAAAGTATCAATTGATACTGTAGGGAAGCTACGGACCACCCCTGGTGGAAACTCCCACCTGCTAACGATGCAATGTAATTTGACTAAATACTTAATTGTAGTACCGATAAAGGACCTTAAAGCAACCACTATTGCTGACGCGCTAGTCAGACACCTAATATGCCAATTCGGTGCCCCTAGAGCAATATTGTCAGATCGAGGTACCAGTTTCCTGTCGGAAATTGTAGAATCACTTCTACACCTATTCAAAATCCATCATTTAACCACTTCCGGTTATAGGCCTCAGACCAATGGGTCACTCGAAAGGAGCCATGTGCTCTTGATAGACTTTATACGTATATATTCAGAGCGCTTTGACGATTGGGACCGTTTGACGCCGTTCGCGGTTTTCACTTATAATACTAGTATTCATAAAGCAACCGGTTACACCCCGTTCGAATTAGTATATGGACGAATTGCTAGGTTCCCAATGAAAATACCGCGAGAAGAAAAATTACGAACGTATAACCAATATTTGAAAGATCTTATTTTACGTCTTACCGAATTAAAGATAGCGGCCGGCGAAAATCAAATACGTGAGAAAATCAAATCAAAAGGGCGGTATGACAGACATTCTAACGCATTCAATGGGAAGGTAGGAGACTATGCATGGGTCCTAAATGAACCACGAATAGGAAAGGCCGATAGTTACTACAAACGACCTTTGAAAATCATCGAAATTTTAAATCGAAAAAATATTTTATTAGAATTTCCGAATGGAAAGAAAGTACGCAAGCACGTGGATAAGCTAAAATTGAAACATTGACTATATGCTATTTAAATTCTACCCTTTAAGGCCATAAATCTACACTTACTATCTCGTACCTTACAGAAAAAAAAAGTTCTTCCTTTCCAACATGCAAAACTTTCTCCTTCTTCTCCTATGCTCTTTACTCGCATTATCTATTGCGGACCCCCAAGCTTACACGATAGAAAATTTGAGCCAAAATCCAGGATTATATTATGAAAGATTGGACCCCATAAGGATAAAAAGAGCAGATTGTAAAGTATACCTTACGGTTGATACGAAGTACTTCTTGGCAAGGACCACCATAATACATGACTTTCATATATTGCTTGGGAATTGCACCAAACACCTAGATGGAATTACGTGTAACAACCTATTAAATAAAGATATTTTGGATATAAAAGAGCTCACGCTTCAACAGTTACAAACGGAAATTACTGAATCAATCGGAAACATGGGAAACATCCAGCCACCCAGAGTTCGGGGGCCCGGAAGCATCAGGAACAAAAGATTAATACCATTTGGAGGGATAGGAAGTTTAAGCCACAGTTTGTTTGAATTAGTAACTGTGGACGAAACGAATAAAATAGACGCGAACATCGATCAATTATACCAAGACCAGAAATCATTAATCAACCTCTTTAACAAAAGGACACACATTATTACCACGGGAATAAACAGATTATTCAAAATGATAGACATACATGGTGACAAAATCTTCCAGCTTGGAACCCAGATGCAGCAAAAATTTGAAAAATTAGAAAATGAAAACGCACGCTTAGAATATATGATCTCTGTACAATCTTTTGGAAGAATGTTGGAATCTAGATTAGATTATTTCATTAAAGGCTCAGAAAGATTCCTAGAAATTCTCCGCGCATTAAAAGAAGGAAAAGTGCACCCAGATTTAATAAACACTGATGTGCTGCACCAAATAGTTAATGATATCAAACATACTGTAACGGACCTTGATTTTCCTATTCCAACGGAGCATCTCAGAGTGGAAGAAATAGTTAGAATTTCGAAAATCGATGCATCGCATCGCGAAAGAAGGACATATATAGCAGTGCACTTGCCCCTTGTGGACAGAGATTACTATAATTTATATAGATTGCATTCTATATTAGTACCACAATTATCGATCTCTAAAAAGGGGTCAGCATACATAAAATATAATTACCCTTACTTAGCCTTGAGCTCAGATCAAAAACAGTATATGCAAATGGACCATCAATCTCTATTAGATTGCACTCGAACTCACTACACCTTTGTATGTTCAGTAAAAGGACCCCTTCTAGATGTTAATCTGCATAAGAACTGTGAATTAGGAATGCTAATACAACCATCCGCCCATGAATTGTACCATTGTGATATAGTACTGAAAAGTCAGGAAACGACACAATGGAATTATATTTCGATGGACGGATCGTGGATTTTCTCTGCTCATCAACTGGACACTATACGAATCGCTTGCCCGGACCGAATGGGCCAGATGATCCACATACAAGGGCTAGGGATACTCAAAATCGCCCCAGGCTGTATTGGATACTCGAGTGACGCGACTCTGTTAACAGAAGCAAAAAGGAATGACACGAACATTTACCTATATAAACCAGATTTGAACCTCAACTTAACGACTCTATACCCTACCGTACATCACTTATTCGATTCAGATATAAAATTAGAAAAATGGGTCCCGCAATCCGGAATGTGGACTAGCCAGGAAAAAGCCTTAAATGATATTATGGAGAAGGCAGAAACTATAAGTCAACACAATAAAATTACTACCTACCAATCCGGACTGATCTACGGAGGACTAAGTATCAATATTATTATGATAATGTTACTAATTGCACTTGCGTATAGATGGTGCACTAACTGCACATGGACCTCGCATAGCACCAAAACTCACAAATCACTCGACGCTCGTAAATCTAACCGAGACTCTATAGCAAGAACCACATCAATTTTCCAAAGTCTAAAAATGACTAGGACCAGGAAGAATTCTAAACGTACGGATGAACCAAGACAATCTAGTGTTCATACGTTAAGCGACAATTCATTGGACCAAAACGAAACAAAATCAAAAGCATCATCTGCACCGAAACCTAACCCCCAAAAACGACACGACAATACCCTTGCACTGCAGACCCAAATCGCAGAATTAATTTAATGACTATTAACATATTTATATGATCAACTCACGATTTGTTTCAGAAAAAAAAAAGGGAAGAAGAAAACACGACATGAGTGAAGTAATCAATAATATGGTACAAGAACCTAAAACTATAAAAATTCTTTATCCAGACCACCTGCCATTAAATGGACTTCTATGCATATTGGAACAGATCGGACCAGTTCAGGAGTTTCATGTACTAAAAAAAAGGGCCAATAACTGCGTAAAGGTTGTGTTATGTAAATTCGTCCAGGTCGAACATGCTATAATAGCTATGAGGACTAAATCATGGACCCCTGACCTAATAACTAAAGATTCGCCGCACACAAAAAGGACCAGAGTTTTTAGAAAATCTTCACCAAGACCGCTTGATAACACACGCTTATTCTGCAGACGTCCGTGGAGTATCGAAGAAAATCGAAGAGAAGTAGCCTTTTTCGAGCATTTCGTAGAATTCGGACCCTTACTGTATCATAAAGTATTGAAGGATAAGTCTGGATCATTGGCTCTGGGATATGTCCAATACTACAATGCGACTGACGCAGACAGAGCAGTAAAAGGTTGTGACCCAATATATGGCGCAGAATTCGCGCAATTACAGAAACGGCGTTGGAATCAGGACTACGAAACCAAACACCATTGGTTATGCGACGAACAAATAGAGGTTACGATTTACGCAGACCATGACAAGACTTGCACGTGGCAACATCAGAAAAGGATAAGAGAGAAAAAGGCTAACGAACGTTACCCAAAATCAGAAGTTAGAAGACCATTGTCAAACCTTATAGTTATAAACACGAACAATACCACGATTGATCCTGAATCCAAGCACGTGAAATCCAATGACCAAGCTGATACTCCAACTGAGGATGAAATAAACATAAACATTGACCAAGAGCGAGAATATTTAGAAACTTATGTATAAAATGGGGAAAAAAGGAGAAAGCTGATTACACTAAAATATAAATATAAATCTATTCAAAAAAAAAAAAAAAAAAAAATGAACTTTTTGTAGCTTAAAGGAAATTCTTTCAAACCAAGTGTGATCACCTTTGTCACTTTTATTAATCTTAGTTATACGCGCGCCGACGATTAAATAATATCTTGAATAATTGCATGTTTGTAGCTACTACCCGTGAACTAATTGTAAAACCCCGTTTAACGCTTCTCGTAGTACATCCCTCTTCCGATTTATCTACATTTTATCATTTATCTCTCTAAAGGACCATACTTAAAATTTTCAGAAAGACCTTTAACATGGACCCATGGCTCAGATATGACGTTGAGCCAATGCTTAACGAAAACTATGGTCTTACAATGATATACATGGACCCGAACAGGAAAGCGGAAGCAATGTGGCTCGCTTGCCAATATGGACCCTTAGAAAAGATGATTGACGTGGCGATTCCCGAGAAATTCAGGGAAAGCATAGGATGCACAATCTTTTACTTTGCGGACCCCACTCATGCTCTGGAAGCAATCGAGCACTTATTCAACAATCGGAAACCGTTTTCCAAGGAAATTCTGGGACTGGAAGAGGACTTACCGACCTATTATCACCTTGAGAAGGTAATATTTGACAGCAACGACCTCTCGGAAGCCGCTAATGAACCAGAGTTATCTGATGACGAGGATGGGCAAAACACCGGCGTGAGTAGTGCCGCCCTGGTCCCCCAACAAAAAAATCTTGGTCCTAAACACAATCGCCTAAATAGGATTCACTGCTTATTACACTATAATTGGACCGAAGTAATGGCAAATAAGACCTTACTAAAGTCTGGCCCTATGGATTACATAAAGTACGTCCCGATGCGGAATGGCAACGGTTTAATGGGGTTCGCCGCATTTATCCATACCTCCGACGCGGAAAGGGTGGTCGCGAATAAGCTTGGCCACCATTTGAAAGCCAGACTTATTCGCCCCAGAATCGTAAAATACGGCGAAAACGTGTTGGACCTCTACGAAAAGCACGATCTCTGCGGCCACTGGATTACCTCTAACGAACGTGGCAAGCACGTGTTACTCTGCGATATACAGATTGGAAGTAACCTAAGAAAACACCACTTCTGCGGCAGGTCCATAGAATTGAGAGAATGGGACCAGCACCTAAAGGGCTGTAGTATGAAGAATGTTGATTATGTCAGTAACGTAAAAGAACAGACATTAGTCGACCTCGCTGAACCTACAGAATCAGCAGCAAGGACCAACGATACGGCGCAGGACATCTCGGATGATTTAGCACGGATAATAATCTAGGACCAGGTTATTCCCTTGTTAAATACATGTACACACCCCCACCCCCCTCTTTATACGCTATCATCGATTATACTAATGGACTAGGAATAAAGGACCTTGTATATTTACTAATTTAGTCACTAATTTATTCCTTACCGACCTATTGCAGACCCTGTGGCTCTTGATACATTGCCGAGGACGGCAACGATTCTAAGGGGGGAGGGAGGGAAACAGCTTTTATTTGAAAATTTTTTGATAAAAAAATATTTTCACAATGAATTGTCAGAAGCCACCAAATATTTTGTGTCCAATAACTTCAAGTTGAAAATCTAGAGAACTTGAACAGCTAGGATTTTATTTTATACATATTTTGTACTGTAGCTCAATACAATTGATTCTCCCGTCGCCGATTTTGCATTCATTTTAGTTAAACCTATTTGCTTAAAAATTCTGGCTTTCATGCTTCATAGTTCTTTCACGCTTACTTACCTGCATACGTAACCGCGGCACTTCATTCAAATCTACTAAATATTTATTAACTAAAATATTTATTTTAATAAATCGCGAACCACATAGTAGCGCGATATTATTATTAGAAGTATTATTCGACGTATTAAAATATATATATATATATAAACTTATCTAACATACCGGCGTAAGTTCATTTAAGTCAATCGGCGAAGCCCCCCCCCTCCCTTTTTCCCGCCTGATTACTGCCGCCTGGCTCTCGCAAGGACGAACTTCGGATATTATCGGTGAAGACGCGATCCATTCGGTGACACGGTCGGGGTACCGTACTGAAGGGCTGGTCCACCCGAGTTAGGACCACTCGGAGCTAAAAACGGTCTAACACGCGCCAGTTTTGAAGAGACATCAAAACTGGCACGTAACACTCACGCACTATAATGAAATAATATATAATAAGGAAACAAATGATAGGTAACAGAAACAAAAAAATCAATTAGTTAAAGTTTAGTTAAATTTACGAATTCAATTATTTTATAGTTTCTCATAAACTTTACCAGACCTTTCTAGAAACTCCAATCTGGCTGGCTAAGACGAAGTAACATGTGAAAAATCATTTCACTTATATATTTCATAAAATTGTGTACAATAGTGTACCTAATTATTATATTCAACAATTGTATTAGAAATTCGAATAATTATGTTTATAGCTATATCGGTGATTATCCAGTGTAGAATATTCGGGTATCCCTTCAGAAATAAATGGAAACCATCAAAGAAAATCACCGAAAAACGTTTTTTTAAAAAAAGCAACATTAGATGATATAAATATGGAATAATCACTTTCATAGTTTACAATACTTTGTGATTGTTAAATTCAATAATTATTTTATAATTTACTAAAGAAATTTTTGGTATATTGGTCATCTGGTGGTAAAATTGGAATAGCTGATTCTAATAAGTCAATCGATGTTAATTGTTTAAAAACTGCTTCATTCTTATTAATGTCTTCTTGAAGTGTCGTTCTTTTCAGCGCAACAATAACGCAGTGCAAAGGATCTAATAACGATTCTTCGAATTTCCAAGCTTGTAAAGCATTGTTTATGTAAAGTGAAGTATTTGTAGTTATATTATCAATGCTTAAATCTGAATGGATATCGAAATTCAATTGACATAAATCAATCTTCAGTCCTAAGCCTACAGCTTTCACATAGCTTTCCTTCAAAGCCCAATTTCTACAAAACATTTTAATTTTTTCTTGTTCAGTCGTATTCAAAGTTCCGTTTATATTTTTCCACTCTAATAAAGAAAAGTTTCTACTCATTACTTGAAAGTATTCGTCGAGAGATTTTCTTCCATTATATTCAAGTTTCATAACATCTATTCCAATATCACTGTGATTATATTCACCAGCGAAAACCGTGAATGAACCATGATGAGAAACATTAAAACTTACTGATGGTAATTTTGAATTTTTGTCTTTATAAATGGGTTTACCGTTTACATCTCTTGAGATTTCTACTAAATTATATGGTACTCCAGTATATTCACTAAGACATTTTCTAATCATCAATCGACCAGCTAAAGAAGCTTTAATATCCTTTTTGAAAATAAATTTTCCAATGCGGTTTTTCTCTTCTTGTTGTAAACATGAAGACGCTAAAGTAAATTCTGTTTCTGTAGGTTCCCATCTTGATATGTTAAAGGCCCATCGTATACTCGACATGATTTTTCCAGTAATAATACCTCTTTAAAAATATCATATATATCTATAGGAAAAAATCTTTTCAACATGCACCTGTAACAAAAATGTTTTACAATAAAAACCTCATTTAATGTCTTAGAACATGTTTTATCTATAATATTTCATATTTATTAACAGAGATTAATTTATTACAGAAAAGTATCTGTTATTTAGTATCGATTTAACGTGATAAAAATAAAGGTTATATTATTAAAAACACAATGGAAAATATTAAAAATAGTGTTATTAAAAACAAATTATAGTAAAAGGTATAGTCTAAATAGTTTAAAAGGTAAGTGGTCACCTTCTTTGGTTTATAAGAAGAGTTCTTGACAAAAATTTTCACCTTATAAATTTTATTATCAATTCAATTCATTATCGATAAAGTAGACTAAAAAGTCTTTATAGTACATTCGTGCCAAAAGAAACCTGTTACTTGTATGCAAGCTGATAAAAATAATAACAAAAATGAAGGAAATTTAAAAAAAATAAAAATTCTAAGGTAACACGTTCGCTTTTTTAATTTTTGACTTCACAATTCACTTTTAAAAAAAAAATAGCCCAAATAACGTAGCATCCCTATTTATTTATAAAAGTGGGGGTACAGAAGGCACATTTGCTTCGTTGCGGAAGGCGTCAATGGGCTCTCATCTTCTGGCAATCTTGAGTACTGCAATTATGAGACAGGGAGAGAGTACAGGGATTATCGAGAATTATTCATCTACTAACATTCTTTATTCACTCTTATTATTCAATTACAATACTCCGATGCGGCTTTAAGTATTGGAGGAAAAGGCCGTACGAGCTCGTCTTTGCGAATGAACACTCCAGAGATAAAGTAAAATGGAAAAACTCCGAATAGGTAATAGTATATTTTCGTTAGATTTCTAAGTGCTGAATCGGAATCTGGCTTCATAATTGATCTACCTCTTAAGATTATTCAGATATCCTGAACTGAAATTGTATCAAATCATATGAATCAAACAGAATCAAAATGAGCAAGTGAATTAAATCACCATATTTTGCTATGAGGTTATGTAAATAAATTTTTTTCTAAAAACAAGCAGAGTCGTGACAAACAGGTATCCTTTTTTCACCAAGATATCATTAATTACAGTTGAGTACGTTAACCTTTAAAGCCCAGTTGCCTTAAGTTCCGACTACTGTAGCTGTAACCATATAACTCTTGACCCTTAAATCTCGATTATCTTAACACCCGACCCCTGTAACCTGTGATTTCAATGTTGTTTTAAAACTACTAAAACAATAAATATCAATCAATTACTATAAAAAGATATGACTAATCTAAAAATAGAATTTGAAGGGCCAGAAAATTGCTTTGTGATAGTTTTACTGATTTTTAGAAAAAAATATATTCACAGTTTTACATAATCTCAAACATAACAAATAACCATGATTTTTGCACTTTTAGATTAGGATATCTCGAGAACCTTAGGTGATGGATCAATTCTCAAGTCAAATTCGGATACAGCCCATTGAATACCTTCGGAAATATACTATCTTGATAATCTTGAAAAACTCCGTATTTGTCAAGCTTTCCAATCGCCATATTAAATCCGCTTTTGTGACGGGCGATACAATCAGCGGGATGGCCGGTGCTAAGACAGGGAGAGAGCTGCGGTTAGAATAGAAGAAAGAGAGAGCGAGAGAGGTAGTATCGCCGGGCGCGACCCGCACATGTGTGCGTAACTGTGCAAAGCTCGGCCATTTGAGGCCGATAGGAAGGGGTGAAAAAGAATACCATAAGAAGTACGAGCATGAGACAGTACTGATCTGATCAGCGACCGTGATTATAAAAAGAATTTAAGTTGCGTGAGACGAAGAAAGGAAGGTGAAGAATTGCTAAGGAAGAGTAAGTCGACACCAACCATCAGCTACTGGCTCTAGTAGCAGCATAAATCAGAGGAGCGAGAAGAGCCACGTCGGGTCAAACGATTAGCTAACGTTACTCTTAACAATGGTCTACAGCAGCAAGTAAGGCCGTGCTGAGGAGAAGCAGCGACAACTAATCGGGCTCGCCGATGGACAGCAACAACGACAGCAGCTCGCCGTACCATCATCAACCCTTCTCAGGTTAGGTGCCTCACTCTATTCTTGGTGTGCCCATTGTTTTATCTCTTTCCGCGAAAACCGATGAGATACCGACTACTAGGTATGAATACATTTGAGTTGCATGATACCCGTGCATCAATTACGGTTATTTGTGAGGTAACACTTAGTTTTCGGTGCGTGAATTCTCACGAAGACAGCACGCCCGGAATTTTTCTGATGCCTAGATTCGCATCGGAAACTTTGTAAGTGGCGAACCATAAAAATGCGAATAAAAGAAATGTCTATGAAAAGGACTGTTGTTATTGATGATTCCTGTCCTCTTTCTTTACAAAATAGTTGCGACTATCATGATTAATCAGCGAGTAGTTAAACAATATATATTTCAAGCCACCTCGTAGGGGATCCAGATGGCTTGAAACATACATAGGGATTTGCGCATGCTCACGCGTCGTGAAAGTCAACAACCAACCTGCCTCTAACCAAACCCCCATAAACCACCCTTACAGAACCACATGCAGGTTAACCCACCTAATCCTGTGACAATCAACTTTAATCGTTTGTTATTTCTTGAAATAATTGAATTTTACACCATAACCGAGTTATCCCAGCTGTATAACATACCTCTTATCCACCTACCCCTAACCTATCTAACCCCCCACCCTTATAAACCACCCTTACTGAAACACAAGCAGGCTAAACCTCCTAACCCTGGGAAACACGAGTTAAGTCGTTTGTTATTTCCTGAAATAATTTAATCCTATGCCTGAGCGAGCTACCTCAACTAACCAACCTGTCTCTAACCCACGAAACCACCATAAACCACCCTTACCCAATCAAATGTAGGCTAATAGACCTAACTTTGGGAGAATTGAGTTTATCAGTTGCTTTTTCTTCAAATAATTGATTTCTACACCGTACGTGGGGTATCCCATTTTTGTTTGATAAAATATATCTGTAGCTTAAACATAATTTATGACAAAAAAAATATGTTTAATGCATTTTATTTTAATAGTATCAAAATGGCGAGATATATCTCTTAAAAATAAATACGAGAATAACACGAGGTCTACTTATCATTTATAGATCTATACATATATATTTACATTCGTATGTAGATACATAAATATATTTACGTAAGAGCCATCGTACGCGATACTACATATATTTTGATTTTTCATAATAATTTTCATCTTTTTCTTTTTTTTATTTACTGGTAAATTAAAATGTATCATTCAACAAATTCCTTACAGAAATGATAATCATCGAAAAAGTGTTTGAAACAGAATTACACCAACCAACATTTTTATATGCTTGTACTTTGCAATGTATATTGCAAGAATCACCAAAGCTAAAATCAACAGGGTTATCTGTTTTAGCTGGTTTTTCAGCAATGTAGCCGCTTTTATACCAAGCGTATTTAAAAATATTTGTATATCTTGGTGAAGAAAGCTGGTTATGGACAAGAGACTGTATTTTTATAATGTTATTTCTTAAATGAAGATTTATTTCATAGTCCATCAAAATTACTTGATCTGATAAACGTCGAACGAAGTTTTTCCAGATACGAAATGTTCCCTGTCGTTCCTGTGGAAATTTTTTTTAACAACTTTGTTATATTAACAATTTTGTTTATCGGCATCGTTTTCCTTACAGTTTTATCGCAATGTCCACTCCAAGAGTCGAGTAAAAGTACAGATTGAGGTCCAACATTTGGGTAAAAAACTTCTTTCAACAAAATATTAAAACGATCTAAAATAAAAAAATGTCAAACTTTTTTTATGTCATTGCATTATAATAAACAAAAATATACTAACTTGTCGTTAATTTTCCAGATTTAGATGCTTCCACATGCACATTTTCTGGTCTAAATAATGAAGATTCCACTATGGGACCGAATTAACCACTTTTTTCTTTTAATACTATAAAAAGTGGTGATAAAAGTTTTCCGGTTGCTCATATAGTTGGCTGAATTGTATAACTGTGCGTTGTCGATGAAACCGACTGTACCAGACATTGCACCTGCTTTTCTCCTTCAACTGCTAATGTTCTTCCCGAGTGCATTTCTAATTGGAAACCACTCTAATCTGAATTATAAAAGTTTGCAATGCCGATTTCTGCTATACATGATTTAACATCAGCTACAAAAACACCAGCATTAGTTTGTAGTTCTTCTTTACTTTCTAATGTTTTTTTGGTGATAAATTTACTTATTTTTCTAGATACTATTCTATGAGCTTTTTTAAATTTTAGTAACCAATTTTGAGAAGCTTTAAATCTTATATCTTCATGGCCAACAATTTTTTGAGCTTGCAATGCCCATTTCCGTACATCTCGATTATGCACTATCGTACCAGCTGCAATAGCGGCTTTTAAATTATCAAACGTGTATGGCAAATTTGCGCTATTTTTTCTCGGTAAGTTCCATTTTTATTAATTGTTTTCGCCCAACGTTTAAGTTGACTTATAGATGAAACTTTTTTCAATCTATGTTGTACAGTATCCAGTTTTAAGTTTTTATTTTTTCCGCTTCTCTAAAATTCTACGGCTCTTTGTTTATAGTTGTTACATCTTGAGACGTAAAAATTTCTTCATTTTGATTTCATCAGCAATCGATTGAAAACGAAATAATGTATAAACAACGAACGGCATCTTTACGAAATACAAACTCAGCGAAATTAAAAGATGAGTAGTCCGAAAATTGAGGCGCACGACGCTTTGATTTTCTGATTACTCAACACATTAATACGGGCCGAAAAGTCAATGTCCAAACAGAGACTCGACTTTTCGGCAGTTGATTCGCGACGCGCGACTACTCAATAGCACTAAAAAAAATTGTTAAAGTTCTTACGAGCTGATTCGCGATGCGCGACGGCCGAATAACTTACAATTTATCTATTGTTATTTTTGAGAAATCATTTCTGTCCCTTGAATAAATAAATAATTACTTGAATCGAGTGTTCGTGCATCATTACCTACCGACC